GTTGGAGGGAAAAAAATGCTGATAAAAGCCACAATGTTTGTGTTTTGAAGTAAAAGGCTCAACTCACTGATAACTCCTAATGCTCCCTACAATGGTATTACTATTATTTTGCTGAGTGACTGATAATAGTACATTGTTGTTCTTTAATAAGGGGCAGTTGGTTGCTTTGTCATTATTCAAGAACAGTCACAACAAGTTAGCACATTTTTTCCAAGAGTTAAAATTGATATCAGACTGGACTTTCATAAGTTAACGTTCTTTGTTTTGGTTGTTGGCCTTTTTGCCAGTGGTTTCTTGAATCAGTATATTAGATGTTGTTGGAGGAACTGTCATGTGAACTGAAATATAAAGTATTGATTACTCCTGATCGTTTTAGGATTCTAAACAAATCCAGAGTTCTTAGCCTCCCAAATTTTCCCATAAATGCATCATAAGTAAATTGTAATTTTTTGTCTGTGTTCCAGTTTTCTTTCGTGCCAAATTTTTCTTAAACTTATTTGATATATAATGTATTACTGCTTTGAGTTGCGAAAAGCTGATTCGTTAATCTTTACTGGTTGATTAAATATTTGATGTACTTCAGGATAAAAATTGTCACGTGTTGCAATTTTATAATTATATTAAATCAGGAATGACACAAATGCCAATTCCAATGACCTTATCTTACTGTTAGTGTAGGAATTTAAGGATAAAATTCCTTGAGTTAAGAGATCATAGACAAAATTTTGATATACAGTTATCATAAGCTGCTTTTCTCTGCAGGTGGTGTTCCGAGGAGGAGAAGGGGCTTTGCAGGTCCTGCCTCCTCTGGTTGATGTTATTCCTGAGGCTAGACTAAATCTTGTGATTTACTATCTCCGGCAAGGTAAATGCATCTTCTTCAGGGTCTTTCATAGCTTCAGGGATAACATCTATTCATCTGATCCCTGTTGATCACTGATTTTTTTTTCCTTTGTAGTAATCTGTGGTTCAATTTCTGTAGAAAACGGTGATTTATGAGTTCCCTTGGCTTGCAGAGAAGGCCTTTAATTGTATGCAGTCGAATAAATTACTTCAGCAGACAACTGGAGGTTCTTGGGTTTGGAGGGGAGGGGGTTGTTTTGTTGCGAGAGGACCTCTCCTCTGCTTGGGTCTATGAGAATGATAGGTGTGTGTCCTACCAAGGCAATGACAGCTATTTCTATAAATGTGGTGCAAACAGAATATGAGCCAAAGTGACTAGAAACAGGGTTAAGTTTGTGAACGAGCCATGTCATTTCAAATCCGTTTTACAGCTTTTAAGAAAGGCAGGTAGGTGGTCAGAATCTGTAGGAAAAAAAGATTGTCTTTATTTTCTACTTGTTTCTCTCTAATTTTCAGGCTCCTCTGATTTTTATTTGAATTTATTTTCAGAGGTGTTCCTCTTCTCCCACTGTGTGCCTTTATTCAACAGTGGGTTGATTAGTCAAGTGATGAGTAGGTGTTAAGTGCAGTCATCTAGTATAAGGTGATGTGATAATAGCTTTTCCATCCACTGCTTTCTTATAAACCTTGTATTTTGTCACCATTAGGCGACTAGAGCACCTGAAAGCAAGTAAATGTCTTTTCTTTCCTCTTGAATAAGTAAAACCAATGACTATGATTTTTTTCCGCAAATCTGAAAAATTGCCAGCAAAAGGGATTTATTTTATAGGCAAAAGTAAGCAACACCTACTTTATATACTATGCATCCCAATAAATTCATCAGAGAATTTAGGTATACATAAACATAGTACATTGGAGCTCTGTCCCTTCAGAGTACGTGTGGTTTGTACTAGCAAAGAAAACCAAAAAACCTTCTTTTATATGGTTTATTTTGATGGGGACCTGGCATAATACTGTATTAACAAAATTTTGTCAGTCCAAAGGGCATCTGCACTAGGTTGGCTTAGTTTACTAATCAGACCGTACTGACAAAATCTTTTTGGAATCAGGTAACGTTTAAGATCTTTTCAGTTATTTCTTCTTTGGGGGAAGGAAATTGTGTATTGAATTCAACCTTAAATTAGGTGCTGTACTCATAGTGCTTTTTGCTTGATAGAATTAGGATGAGAGCTGCTGGACAGATGTTGCAATGTTGATAAAGGAAACGATGAAGTCTCCTTTCAGAATCATCTTCCCTTATCCACCTTGAGGGATAAATAAATGTGAGAAGAGAAAAGAGGAAGATGAAGGTTTTATTATCTTGACCTTGTACTGCTGAGAAGGCAGCCACGGGATTATGAATAAGGGGCCAAGTCATCACTACTAGAAAATTGTAGTAATAAAGAAGCTATTACTCACTCCATGTTTGTTATTTGAGTTCTAGAAAACCATCACCATTGTGATATAAATTCACAATGATTTATAGTTCCCTTTTTCCTCCTGTCTGAATGCTTTATTTCTCTGTGACTATCAAGGGACGTCACAGAGGGTGAGTGATTTGTTCTAATACAATCTGCTATAGTTTGTCATGCATTCTAACGTCTGATATTTCAGATGATGTGCAGGAGGCTTATAACCTGATTAAGGACTTGGAACCTACAACTCCACAGGTAACTGGAAACTTACGTCATAGTACATAAAGAGAGAGGTTATAAATTGGTATGAAATCAGCCACATGCAACACTGGCACCCTGAGGACAGCTTGCTGCATTTCCATCCTTAAGCCTCTGGTGTTTTCCATCATTTTTCAATAAGACTTAATGTGCTTGCATAAAACATAATATGTGCATATATGAATACTTAGTATGTTTATTGCTGTCCAAAATGGGATCAACTAAGTGTACAGCTCTGTTGTGTGCAGACTTGGTTCTAAGGAGCTGACCATTAGTGCGTAGATACAAGCCTTCTTCCAACTACAGCTGCTTCTCACATCTGCCCTGGTAGCAGTTACCCACCTTCAGGTCAGCTAGCACAGATGCTCACATGGTTTCTCCTGAAGCCACTTAAAAATGAGCTAGGTTGGATTAAATAGTTTCAGTAATAGCTCTTTGCTAACCCTATCTCACTTTGGCTGAAATGAGTGAAAACTATATTGACTCCTACTGTAGTTTTCTTTTGTGACTGTTCTGACATGATTTGTTCCTCTTTGCAGTTTATTTTCCAAAGGTCACATAGCTGGGCATGAAAGGGACCTTTCATGAGTCTGTGTGAGGATTAGATGGAGGGAAGGAAAAGGAAAACCTCGAGAACACAGATGTGGTGATTCTGTGCTGAAGGAGTGTCTTCTGCTGCTTTGCCTTTTACTTCTCCTTGCACTTTTCAATGTGGCAATACTTATTTGAAGTTTTATGCAGCTTATTGCTCCTTTAGCCTCTTGGGTTTTTTTTTTCCTTGCATTTTCTTTCCTAAATTCCCCACCTATGTATATTGCATAAATACTATCATGATATCATTCATCATCACCCACTTGATAAATTTTGAAATGGGAATCTTTCTGCTTTTTTTCATCTTCTGCCTCACACTTTGAAGGAACTCTGCATTAAGACTTGCAAAACTACTTGTGTGTTTTGTTTCTCAAGATACAAGTTCTTCTCAAATTTCTTCTTTGTCGCGATGTCTATAAAATTAAATAATTAATTCAACATCTGTTAGGAGAGTTGATGCTCTAAGAGGATTACTTAGCGTGCTGGCTAATATTGACAGATTGTTTCCTTACGCTCTTTTTTTTGGTCCGTGTACATCTGTTTTTTATTTTTTCCTGTGTTTACATCTGTGACAGGGCAATTCTGGTTTATCAGGAGTACCTAGTGTAACAGATTTATAGCTAGAACTCTGAATTACAAGATTTGAACAAGACAAATGTCTACTACATGCTGAGAAAATCTTGCTCAGAGAAGAGTTAAACTGTAGTTGTGGTTCATAGGAGTGGAGTATCCTGTAATCTCTGCTATTCCTAATTACAGTAGAACAGCATGAACGCAGACCTCTTGATATTTTGGTCCCAATAAGAAATGGTATGCATTTTGTAGCACAGGTGGTAGTAGTTAACCAATGTGCATACTTGAGATGGTATCTGTGCATTAATGTAACAAGATTGCACTTGATTATTGGTCACATCACATGATGGTGAAAATGGCATGGTAGTATGTTGTGGTGTTCCTTCTGGTGAATCATCTTTGAGCAAAAGATCTTATCAGAAAACACACTACCTCTTTACAGACCAAACCTTTTACAGAAGTGACTAGCTAACACTTAGAATGCGTTTTTGAGGGTCATTTTGTACTACACACAGCACTGAAGCACTTGCTATCATGGTAACCAGCTACCTATTAAAGTGAGTTGGGATAGAGTTGACATTAGAAAGAAAATCATGTGCAGGTAGGCTCTTCTGTGTCTCCTGAAATCATCACCTTGTCTTCTCTGAGCCCCCCCCTTTTTTTTTTTTTTTTTTTTTTTTTTTTTTAGGAGTACATCCTCAAAGGAGTGGTAAATGCGGCACTTGGACAAGAAATAGGCTCGGTGAGTGAGACCTGTGAGGTTCTCCAGTTTCCAACAGTAGGATGTGAGTGGATCTGCAGGGATTGGAATGGAGTTGATGGTGAAAGAGACAGTCATTTCGCATTTAGATCGCAGGATCTCTGAGCCGCCTCTCTTCCCCCTGGTAGTACTGAGTCCAGAATGACTAAACTACAGATCTCTGTAACTAGTCCTGAGCATCAATCAAACTGAATTCAGCTTCTCCATCCTGCTTACAAAAAATCTTACTTGCTTTCTACCGTATTTCTGTGTATTTAGGGCCGTACAGTGGCATGTTTACCTTTTTTTTTTTTCTTCATCCCCAGTTTGCATGTTGTGCTGTGCTTCTCCTATCTGTTTCCCAGAGCATATTTTTACTGTATACTGTAGAATCAACTCTGGAAATCATGTCATCTTTTTTTTTTTTTCTTCTAGAGAGATCATCTGAAAATTGCTCAGCAGTTCTTCCAGTTGGTGGGTGGATCAGCCAGTGAATGTGGTATGTTTGAAATGTTCTTTCTCCTCCAGTAATCCTTCTTGTGATATTCAAATATATACCATCATGTCTTTGTCTAACTGCTGACTCTTAGTATTGCTAGTGCTAGGCATTTTGTTGCTATAGTAGGAGTAACAGAAGGTGTAATTTATTCACCTTCTATAAATTCACAGGTTTAAAATAGAAGACCCGATTGATTCCAGACCTTACTATAAGAATTTGCCCTGAAAGAGGCTCTGCTGCAAAATGCTAGTCTTTGGTGATAGCTACTGTGGCAGCTTGTCTTTGCCTAATCATCCCATTGTAGACTCAGATTTAGGTGACACATGTGGCTGCAGCCTACTTATAGGTACAAATCTGGGACTGCAGATAAAAGCCTATTGAATATATAGAGTCCTAGCATGAAGTGTGCCCTGAAACTGAGGGTAATAACAATGTAAAGAGGAATTTGACAACAGAGAGAGAAGGAGGTTCCTGGACTAATTCCTTGGTTGAATCCTAAAAACATCAGAAAACTCAATAGTGAATCAACAGATTAAAAAGAGTAAGCAAACTAGTAGACCAAAATAAGACCTTGTCTTCCCTCACCAAAGTAAAACTAAAAATCCCAAACCAAAAGAGCTCAGAATACAGAAGTTCAGCAGAATTGAGGCTCCTCAGTTTCCTTTGTGGGCGTTGTCAGTAGGTTTATTTCTGTTGGCAGATAGCTTGTACGTGCATATGATGCAGACAGCTCGTGGTCCTCACAGACAGAATGCTGCCTCCTGGGTCCAGGGTGCCTGAAGAGAAAGAGGTCAAGAGACGGAGGGGCAGCACTGATGAAACTTCCAGAAATACCTTAAAGTCATTCTGTTCCCAGGCTTGCAGCCTCTGTGCTGCTGAGGTGGGCATCACACTGGAAAGCTGAAAGCAATCCTATAGAGGAGCCTTCCCTACCATGTTCCTTTTGCATTGAGGATATCCCTTTGGAGTTGGGATCCCACCTATCAGAAAGAACCAAGGAGAACTGTAGTGGTGGAGGACTCGGTTAGTGGGCATATACCGAACTGGGTTTGTAATGCCAGTAAAGTCACAGGGTGACTGATGCAGTGATGATAGACCTCTTGAAGCCCATAAATAGTCTTACCGATGTGATGAGTGATCATAGCACACATGGATAACAGTAATACAGAGACAGAAGAGAGATGCTGAAAAGATGCACAGAGAAAAGATATCTTCAAAATTTAAGTTGGTAGGAAACTAAAAGCCTTACTTTTACTCTGAAACATTTTAAAAAGCATATATAGAACAAGACAGAGAGCCTGAGACTGAGAAATTGTTGAGAAAACAAATAAACAGAAATTTAGCCTTGTTAGAAATAATTTTTTTTTTTTTAACATTTGAGCCTATGGGAATGATTGGTTGCATCTAAATCTAAATTGAAACATTAGTACTGGAAACATTTTACTGGAAACATTGGTACTGCAGTGCTCCCTTGTCATCTTTCTGAAGACTTGCAGAGGAAAGCTAACAGGTGCAGAAGAGAACACAGTTTAAGGTAACTCCTCCTCTAAAGATGAAATTGTATGATTTTTGTATCATCAAATGAAGGACAGGTGGAAGTCAACAAACTTCAGGTAAGAAATAGAAAAGACAGTCCCACTTACATAGGACATGTAACAAAAAGCAAACATGAAAACCAAATATATAAATGCTTTTATACATATAGTAGATGTTTTATAAGGAGGTAAATAAATGGAACACCTGGCTTTAAAAGAGGCTGTAAATGTAAAATCATTTAAAAAACATGATAGAAGGGAGGTAACATACAAGATATTTTTTCCATTTAATTGGCAACTGGGCTTTACTAAGTAGATGATGCTGGTGCAGAAATGGTTCTAAGCATTATAGAAACCTCAGCTCAAAATAAAGTAAATAGGTTTTCATTATCAGTAAGTAACACAGAATTATTTAAAACTGCATGCTCAAATAGGAGACAGATAGTAGCTAAATAATTCACCAGCCAGCCTGAATGGTAACAGTGACTGGCATATTAAAGAATTTAGAGGCTCTATGGAGACAGATAATAAGATAATAGTCAGAGACTTCTATTCTGCCCATGTTGACTGGGTAAATGCAATGACATGGCATGATACAGAGAATGCATTTTTAAATACTAATTTTTTGCCTTTCTTAGCAAGACTAGAAAAAAAACGTACAAATGAACAGGTGCTTCATGACCAGTACAGATGTTACATAGAAACTGACTTGAAATATTCTGATCAAAAACCAACTCTGTTACAGAGAGCTGAGTATAGTCAAATTCAAAATCCGTGTATGAGAAAAACCTCAAAAATTTTTTTCTTTAAGAAAGGCCTTATATTCATAAATAATGAGATGTATGAGACAAATAATGATGTGACTAAGTTTGCCAATGATGCAAAATTACTCATAGTGGTAAAATGAAAGCTCCCACAACTATGAAAGCTGCGGAAGAATATAAGAGGTTGGGGTCATAAGATGCAAATTAAATTGAGTTTTGATAAGCATGAAGTAGTACATGGGGAAAAAAACTAAACTATAATTACAAAATTATCAGAAGCAGTAGAAAAGTTGAATAGAATATTAGGAATTATGAAGAAAGAGACAAAGAACAAAAGAAATCATCACTGTGCTAGCGTATACAGCTGTGACTCTCCTTTTTCTTGAATACTGTTTACAGTTCTTGTTCTTAAATTTCAAAAGAACATGGTAAAACAAGAAAGGATACAAAAAGAATAAATAGCAAGGAGGATCAGAGGAAGGGGATACCATCTTGAACAAAGAGAAATTAAATAAAGTAGGTTACGTGCCTGGAAAGGTGATGACTGATTTTGGTTATGTTAGCGATACAGAACATCGTAAATGACAGGGAGAAGATGAATAGAAAAGAATTAGTCACTGTATCTTACAAGAACTAAAGAGCACTGAAATACAACATCAGGCAAGATGCTTAAAACAAACAGCAGGAAGTATTTTTTTACATAACACACAACAATCGAATGTTGCAGAAACCAAAAGATATAAAGAAGTTCATAGGAGAAAGGTTTAGCACACAATTTTCAGTGCTGGTTAGGAAGTCTCTCTGTGCAGATTGCTGGAAGCAGTGAGGAGCTTCAAAGGGGTGACATTATATATAAATATATTATATGTTTTTATGTGTGAAATCAGAATATACTCTTTTTTTCAGCCATATGTTCTTATTAAGCAGCCCTCTGAACCAGATAGATTTTGAGGCCAATCCAATAAGACCATTTTTATGTTCTTATGTAACTTAACATATTAACCATTACCTCGAATAGTTGTGGTCATTTTTGATCTGTTGCCTTTTATTTGCTGAATTTAGAATGGAGAACCAGATTCTCGTTGTTTGTGTACTTGAGCTTTTAGCTATCTGTACTCTTCAAGCATGGAAGTCATGCTTCACCATTTGCGCTGTGCCGGTTCTTGCAAGGAGCTAGCACAATTAGATTGCTTGTTCAAGGTCCTTTATCAAGTTAGCTAGCTGCTTCACGGATCTATAATGGAAAAATAGATTGTGTTCATTAAAGTGAGGAAATCCCATGCTGTTTCTTTTCTGGCAATTGGGCCCACAAACTTCCTGATCTTAGTGTGGGTTATCAAAAATGAACAGATTAAAATGAAAGCGTGGAAGATTTTCTCAAACCTAGTTCCTGTCTTTCTGACTTCCTCTTGCTAACTGTAGAAATCCTGTGACTGGATTAAGGGAAAAGCAGCAAGAACAGTTAGTTTATGAAGGAAACTGTGTCCTGTATTTGGTAAGGTCATTTGGGGTCATCAGTAAAATCTGCTGTTTTTAACTAGATCCCTCACTGAGAGGATCAAGGAACATAGAGTGAACAGAGTTCACATGAAAGTACTTCCCAACATGAGTTGAAATGCTGAGCTGCTTTGGAAGTGAATTATGCAGTTTAAGAGACATCCAAAAACAAAAAAGGAACCACTTACAGTGTAGCAGTAAATGCTCACCCTCTAGCAGCAGTAAATACCGACCTGAACAACAGCTCTGTATTGCTTTTTTTTTTTTTAAACTTAATAAGAATTCTCACTCCTAAATGACTCATGAAATGGTATTACAAAGGAGGATATAACTAAAATTTTACAGTTAATTCTCATGCTGTAAGTGATCTTTTCCCAGTGTCTCAACTTGGTAGAAAATGAAACAAAGATCAAATTTTTGAGGTAAGTTAAGGAGGAAATGGGGGTAAAAGGAACATTAGTAAATGTAACATCAGTGAAAATAAATAAACGTTAATGTTTCCATGAAATACAGTGTTTGTGATGCTGAACATAAGTCTTACAAACTACCCTATACACTGCCAACATAATGGAGAACAGCACCCCACTCATTTTCAGTAGTCTTCTTTTTAAGACAAGTCAGGCATGCCCAGTGTTGCGGGGAGGGAATGACACATCTCTTCTGAACTTTGGGCCGTCTTCTCTTAAAGGTATTTTTAGGTTAGCCAAAGTAATTTTTAAAAAGAAGAACTTTTTCCTCTTCCTGTATGAGTCACATGGGATGGATTAGAACTATAAAACTCCAGCTTTCCTGTCGTTAGCATTATTAGCAACGGAGTTTTAGGAGATTTACAGATGTTTTATTTGTTTGGGTTTTTAGTTAAATGTTTCGTTAAAAGTACACGAAGGATGATATCCTGGGATAACACAGTTTCCTGCCAAAGTGTGGATGTGATGGTAGATACTGAAACTTAGAAATTCTTCAATCATTTATGGGAAAAGAGTTTTCTAATATTTCATTATTGTGATTCATTTCCAGTGAAAATTTATTTTTGAATTTTAAGTCTTCTTTAAATATTTGTTTTCTTGTTCTTGGATTTTGTTTAAAATAGATTGCTGTGAACTTTTAAAAATTGCATGTGAGAGGAAAGGGACGTTTTTGAGATATCAGCATTCTCAATACCACAAGAGTAGAGGAACACTGAAAAAAGTTGTTTCTCTTACCATCCCGCCAAGGCATATAAATGTAATGCTAGGTAGTCCTGCATGTAAGTAAGGACAGATAAATAAACAGGCCAGGTTCTGCTCCCAGGTGAATACTGTAGAAATAATTAAATAATTCTCTAAGACAGGGAACTGACTAATGTGTTCAGCTATGGATAAGGATGTAGTGTCTCTAGAAGGAAATGACAGGACGTCAAGCCCAGTATCTTCTGGTGCTGCAGGATAAAAAATGAGAGTTTTCTGCCTTTCTTTGAAAAATATTTTGAGATCTTATATGATGGTTTCCAGCAATAATTACTTCCTGACCTTGGAAAGAAGAATTTACAGCTTTCCACTGAAATGCTGAGTTTTGTGCAATGGTGCAGAGTCAAAGATAGGGGCCTTGAAATGTACGAAATTTCTGTATACAGAAAAAATATTTTGATTTTCCTTTGTGGGTGAATTGATGGTAACTAACCTGCAGGATCAAATTACTTCAGGACCGTTAAGGCCCTAGGACCTTACTGCCTCCTGTCACCCCACTGTTCTGCACCAAGCAGCATGCTCTCTAACAGTCATTTGGCAGAGTACACGCTTGGGAATACAACAACATAGTAGAAAAGTTTACTGACGCTCATTGGAACTGATCTGCCAAACTTATTTATGACTACCACTTGTGAGCAGTATGGCAACCCCAAATGCATGAAAACAAAATGAGTTTAGAATAACAAACTCAGGATTTCTAACAAGTTTCATTTCCTAAGAAAGATTAATGGTAAAATTGTGCTACATAGATGATGTTCTGTAGAAAATGTCCTGTTACTTAAACAATTTGTCACTGTTGAATGTGCTGTTGAATGCAATCTTGCAATAGTTATTGTATGCAGTGGAGAAAGTTGACAAGATGATGTAATAGTTTTTCTAACCTCAATCCTTTGCCTGAAAAGGCAAGTTATATTATTTTTAGGACTTTGCTCACAACCTGGAAAGTGACTATCTGTGGCATTAATTTCCATTACCATTTTTAAATTCTACAAATTTGCATTTCTCTTTTGAATTTTAGATACCATTCCAGGGAGACAGTGCATGGCCTCCTGCTTCTTTCTACTTAGACAGTTTGGTGATGTCCTGATCTACCTCAATTCAGTCAAGGTTAGTATTATAATTTAGTATAGGTAGTACTGTAATGGATGGAATCACTGCCTGTGTAATGAACACTGTGCTGTGTGAGGCAGTATGTAAACAGAAAAAGATACAGAAACACAACTCTAAAATGGGGCATGGCTTGTAAACACAGCAAATGCATCAAAATGCGTAGAAACAATAAGATAGCATTGTTCGCCATGGTAGATTATGGTATCGTCATGCTTGCAATGTAACCATTATCAGGCCTTTTGGTGGCGCATCACAGAAAGAGAGGAAGATAATTAAAGGAAGATAATGAGATGGTTTCTGGATGGTTATGGGTTTGGGCAGCATGGAAGAAAAAAACAAGCGTTCATTTAAAAACTTACCAAATGAATGATGGAGACTTTTGTCAGTGGTTGATAACTGGGGGCAGAAATTTGATAAACAAGAGTGTGTAAGAAAGATAGGGCATGAAGGACCCTGAAAGTAATAAAGCTTATATTTTTTAGAGAAAGCATCCACTGAAGGGCTAAGGTAGGGCAATATTACCAACGTAGTGAGCTAGGAATATTACTTTTGCAGAAGTAATCAGAATGGTTCTCTGCAGGCAAAGTCACGTTTCTTCAAGTAAGAGAAGAAGCCTGCAGTTAACCCTAGTGCAACATTATCAGATCACCTGTACTTGATGGATCATAATGGTTATAACTTAAAGATACTCAGCTATAAATCAGATGTAAGGACCCAGAGAGAGGCTGGATTCTGACTATGGGATTAAGTGATTGTGGTCTTGTTCCAGCAATTTGAAACTAGTGAGAGTAGTGAGAACTCTGCATTTGGTGGGAAGGGGAATGAGACTTTTTTAAAAGAATGATTAGAGAGATATGCTAGATGAGGACAATTATGATACTCTAAGGAAGGTGGTGAGACCTGAAGAAAAAGAGCATGGTTGCAATGGAGCCAAAAGCAGCTGATGAGTCAAGGAAGACGAAGCTGGAAAATGTTTTTAAACTTTGACTAGGAAGAGGCCACTGAAAAAATCACAAGTGGCAGTGTAATGAAGAGACGAAAAAACAGTTTGGAGAGTGTGTGTAATTGGAGAAAATGAGTGCTAGAAACTAACAATGAGATTCATTTTGCATAACTTGAGCTGTCTAAAAGTCAGGCTTCTAGTTATAAGTAATGATCTGGTCTTCTTCCATAGGCAGCAGAGACAGATGGTAATTTCCAAAGGAGAATTCATCCTGTCTATATCTGAAACTTATCTTAGAATGGAATGAGTCACCTCATAGAAATGACCATCTCTTTCCATTTACTTTAAAAAGTTCTTAAACAACTAGTTCTGACCTGAAAAGGTTAAAGTTAAATGAGATTAATCACTGCCTCCAAGGTATATAGGAAAGCTTAGAAATGAGACAGAGAAGGGTAGCATCTGCAGAGGCAAATGGAGTCAGGATTAGTGTTGGAAAGTAAGGCATGGCTAGTGTTTGTAAAGGAAACAGATAGAAGCAAACAAGATGCTAAACAGAAATTAAGAGGATGAAAGTGGGCAGAAGGGAGATCAGAGGATAGGTCAGAGGCATAAGGTAAGAGCAGTGTTAAAGGGAAAGGATTAGATGATACATCTGTGCAGGGATAAAGGAAAGTCTTGTAGGGAGGGCTGGAAAGAAAATCTAAAGGGAAAAGGAAGAGCCCAGATTTTGTCAATGTTAGTTCATAAAATGTTAACAAGATCCCATGCAGAAGAAAACATAGGTGAGGGATAGATCTAATGTTTAGAAACAGTGTCAAGAGAGAGGCAGAAATAGTGACAGATACAGGTATGCATACCTTCAATCCTGCTATATTTATCAACTAAAGGAAGGAGTGTTCTTGCCTCATCAGATTTGAGAGAAAAGATTTTGATGTGTGCACGGGGAAGGGGAAGACTTATTTGACTGTTTGTCTTTTTTTTTTTAAAACTTATTTGGCTGAAAGAGGAGAAAAAAGTGAGAGTGTTACTGTTGCCTATTATAACATACCTATGTGGATCTCTGCTTGCAAACTGGGCTTCTCCACTTGGTGAACTGTAATAGTTTGCCAAAATCAATCAGAAGAAAAAAAGCTAACGTGCAACAGAAAGTTAGTTATAGTCCACATACAGCACAGTAGTGTTGTATGGGCCTATCCGTTCCATACTCAGAGATGTATTTCTATTAGGTGAGTTGTCAAAGAGGCTGAGATATGCTGTTAAGAGTCTTTTCCATTTACCACCTGTTAGAAAGCTATGAGCACACAGGTGTGCAGAATCCACTTTCTCCATATCTTTGGTCTGTCACACAGATTAATTTGTTTTAGTGTTACAGTCTTTCCAGGATAGTATAACAGAGCGCGAAGTAGTTACAGAAGGAAGTAGTAGTTAAAGAGGAAACAAAACACAAAACTTAAATGCAGCTAAGATGGTTAAAATTATGGCCCGTAGGTATGTACATGTGTACATATACATAAAACAATCATTGTTAGATTTAGGAGTGTCAGAGTGGTAATATATTGCAGAAACCTTGTTTCAGAAACTTGTTTGACTGTTCATTGCTTACCAAGGTCCATTGCTTACACTTCGTTCTTCAGCTGGGTATCAAAGCATCTCATTGAGACAGACATCACTCAGAGCACAGTTAGTTCTATGAAAAGATTGAAGACGAGTAAAAGACCCCAAAGAGTGGAGTGCAGTGCAGATACTGTGTCCATTCTGAAGATAAATACATAATCTAGCTGACATGAACACATTGCACTATTGGCAGCCCAGGTTTGTTTCTACCAGTTTTGTTTTTGCAGCGTTTCTGATCTCTAGCACTAACAGAGCCTGGATGGAATGACACAGGTTTTGAGTTTTGTTGCTGATAGAGTTTTTCCCATGATAGTTCAAAAATACAGTGGGGGTTATTTGACCAGAAGGAAGCAGTCATGCAGTAAAACGAGCATCTTGCTCACCACCTTTGCTGAACCTGGGCTTGTGCTAATTCACCCAAAACCATCACTGAGGAGGAATACAGTGAAGTGTTGCAATTCTCATACTGTGAAACCAGTTAGTTCACCCTAAAGGTACAGAAATGTTTCACAAACGGAGCTTGAGATTCACCCAACTGGTTTATCCTTGTGCTTTCCTGTAGCATGCTATATTTGCTAGCTCTTTCCAGACCCTAACCTAGACTATTTGGGTGAAACCTAGACATCTGGCAAATGGTGGCAACCTCCACCTCCCCTCATGTGTGTCTGGCTTGATGTATGTGGGAGGACTTGGTCAGTACCTTTTCTGACTGCGAGGGACAGGGAAGGGAGGAGGTTCTCAAGTGTCTCTCCGCAGCAGAAGAGGATAGAGAGCCCTGGGAAAGAGGCTTATCCCTTGCATCCTGTATCCCTTATACAGTCCCAACTGCACTTTTGTTTTGTTCCCTTGCTAGGGGTGAGGAGGAGGTAAAAAGTTAGCTAAAAACTGAACTGCCTAACGCAACCTCTATTTCTCTCATAGGTGTTATATAAGGGAAAGCATTTCTGTCTCCACATATCTTGCTGTTATGTACCCAGGGAAACTTTTATTGCAGTGGTTTTGGGCAGTGGATAAACCACCCTGCTCTTTTCCTATGCTTTTCATGAACACCATGATCCTCTGCTTGGCAGGGATCCTCATTGCTTCTTCCCATTCATGCTTGTAGCTAAGGTATCATGTCCCAGCTTACCTACCCCAGGCCTACCTGTGCAGCATTGTGGTGATAGTACTGAATGTGGCGCATGTGCTCAACTGACTTTTGGTAATCTGAGTTACACTTTAATCTGGACATTTGACCAACACTGAATCTAAGCCGTTTGGGTCAAACCCAAACATGTGGCTCATCTATAGCTAGAATCATATTTCCTGCACTGACCCACGCAGCTTGTCAGAAAAGATACAGCTATATAAACATGATCTACCACTAATCAGATTATGTCCAGTCTAATATTGTGGTAGGAAAAAAACCGTAGTGTTGCACTTCAGATAAGGAGACGGGTGCCTCTAAGCAACATTTGGGCTTAAGGAAGCCGTGTTACAAGGTATGTTCCCTGGCTACAGTCCAGTCCTGCAGCTCCACCTGCATCACATGACACAGTATGTCAAACTGGCATCTGTCACAAAACCAGATCCGCAGGATCTTCTGTTGAACCTTGAGAAGTCCTGGAAAAACAAACTGCTCATTTCCTCAAGCCATTAGGGAGCCAACTGCCTATTCACCGCCCAAGATTTGTAAGTGTTTGGGAAGGTAAGGAGACCATGGCATCACAGCATGTCTTCACATGCCCGAATTGAAAATTAAACCCATAAAAGCTGCCACTGCAACTTTGAGATGGAGCATTCTTCAGATCTCTCATGGTTAATACTGTGGAATGTTTCAGCTATGTTTGTAGTCACGAATGTAGGATGGAAAGCCAGTCCATAATTTTCTACCCACTGTTTATAAATGCTGTATGTTCATAATGTGGGTTTTTCTTTTTCCTTCCCATTGTCTTGATATAGTCTGACTCAGATTTGAGAGTTTATTTTTAATGTTACTATACCATTGAATTTTTTTTTTTGTCTCTGTGGTTTATTTTCCAGAGTTACTTCTACAATGATGACACTTTCAACTTTAACTATGCCCAAGCCAAAGCTGCTATGGGCAATTCTAGTGAGGCTGAAGAGGTATGTGTTTTACTTTACAGAAAACAACAACAACAATGGAAGCGTTTCCCACATACTTCCTTCTTTCTTTCCTTTCCTCCCTCCAAATCTTAATGCTGGCTGAAAATAAACAAGTTGTGTGGAACTTCATCTTTCCCTTCTTAGAGGAACTGAAACTCTCAAGTGAACGCTATTCAGAAAAGATTGTCTTGCTAATCTTACCAGATTAGCATGATGTGAGGTACATGGGAAGTCACGCTGCTTGTGGTGCATCACAAGAGTGCTTGCAGCTATCTCTAATTGATCAAAGAATGCCTTCTTAATCAGATTTCCTACGCTTTGTCTGGGATCCCAGATAGTCGTCTTATTCAGAGTGACCAGAGCATGCTAAGCAAAAGACACTGAATAGTTAAGAGCTGCTAGGTGTCCCCTAGAAATTTGTTTAAAAAAAAAAAAAGAAACATTTTCTTCCTCTGGGAGATGTGGGAGGAAAAGAGGAAGTGCTCACTATCTTATTCAGCAGCATCCAGATGCAGCTGGAGGAGATTAACTTCTACACACAGCATTTTTTGTGTCTATGTGCACCAGAAACTTAATTACAACTAAAATATGCAGAAGCAAATAGCTGTTATGAAGATGGAAGCAACGTTTTCCAGAAGGCTATCAGAAGACAGACCAAGAAATCCATGTAGTTTTGTTTTAAGCAAATCATATAATTTTTGTATCTTTCTGTTTTTCTCTTTTTCTGATTATTTTTTTTAACCCTTCAGGTTACTTGAACAACAAAGTCTTCCTCCTGCTTAACTTTTTATTTTCTCCAACCCCTCGCTTAATTTCTGTGATTCAATCTCTCCTTAAGAAAAACATCTCAGTGTCAGGCAAAATGGAAGCGTATTGCAATTCTCTTAGCTTAATTTAGTTAGCTTAATGAAAATACAGGTAAATATCTTTTGAAGTTATGCTAGCAAGCTGTGCTGATACCTGAGAGTTCATAAACAATGAAAATGATAACGCTGTAAGTAAGCTCTAGCTGCAGCCAGGCAGCAAAAGAAACACAAGGGTGTAAGCTGTTGTTAATCCACACTTTTCCTGCTTATATTCTTACCAGTGATTCTGTACAAACTTGTGCTATGTAGCTGATGCTTTTAAATCATAGAATTACGTAAATGAATTGATTAGTCTGTCCTGGTGTCTCATCTTTGACCATGATGGCACTTTCAGATAAAGATTACCTTTCCCCAGCATCTCATAAACTCGAAAGATATCTCTGCCTATACTGCTGTATATAACTTCTTGAAAAGATTGCCTTCCTGGGCATAATGTAGTAAACCCTATGATAAAGTGCTGCTCATAGTAATAATGCTTAAAAAAAAAAATAGAGGGTTAGAAATGTTTTTTGCCAGTAGCATCCTAATAAAACAACAAATATACCTACTGAAAGGCGTGAGCAGCCTTTTTTTCTGCAAGTAAAGCCAGAGCAGATTTTTAAATGTAGCACAAAGACTAACGTTTTGCCTCAGAACCTTGCTAAAATTTACCAAACCAGTTAAGAGAGAGTTTATTGCTGACCCAAACTGATCTCTGTTATGTACGGGGAAGAAAGGATCATTTATGTATAGTGAAACTTCTGGCATTTCAGGAAGATGCTAATTTAATTGCTTGCATTGCTTTCTAAGCAAACACATTCCAAATAGCTTCTCTCGCAGCCCCCGTCTTTCTTTGTGCTGTTCTTCGTGTTGTGTGGCCGCCCACTGGCACTTGTTCAGAGCAGGCCGCACCCTCGGCACAGCTTGGCGTTTTGAAACTGCAGAAGTCCCTTGATAAGCATTGCAGTGTTTGAATCCTCCACCTGCCCGACGCAGAGATATCCCCCTGCACTGAAATTCCATACCTTAACTCTTCTCATGAAGCAGTTGTTCATATGGCTTAAGCCTTAGCTGCATGTTGAAATGAGGCAGGGCTGCCTTCTGCTTGCTTAAAAGTATGTGCAAATATAATCTCTTATTTTACCTTTTCCTGCAGGTGTTCCTTTTGATCCAGAGTGAGAAGATAAAGAATGATTTTGTTTACCTTAGCTGGCTAGCACGCTGCTGTGAGTCACTTTACTCTCAACGTTGCAAAATACAGATCCTCCTCTATTGCATCAGTCTTGGCAATCCACTTTCCTAATTGATTTTAATGTTGTAGGTGGATTTAGGAGTATGAAAGTGGAAAAGCTGATTGCACTAGTTATAGCGTGGGTGGTTATTGCACCATTCATACATCTGGCTTTTGTAAGCAATTGCTGCTTCAGTGCAGTGCTGTTATGGTTCTGTCAGTGCAGCTTTGTTCTAACCCATGAACTTTTTTCTTCTCAATTATCTATCTACTCAATTGTTTGAATGAAGATCTTCTGTCTTAAAAGATTGGTTACAACTCTGCAATGGTTAAATATAAGATAGAAACAGCCGTACTGGGTCAGGCCTAGGGAGTCTGTCTAGCTCAATGCCCTCTTATCTAAGAGTGGCCAATCTTGGATGTCTAAGGAAGAGTAAAAGAACCAGGCAAAGAGGTGTGATATTTTCCTTCCTGCCACCCTATACTTCCCACTATTCAAACACCTGTGGCTCAGGGATTTCCTTTATAATTGCCAGCATGTTTTTTCTTCTGTAGATTTGTCCATTATTCCCTTGAACTGAGTAAGCTCTTGATAGCCTTAATATCCTATAGCAAACTTTTTCAATGTTTCCAAACTTGTTCTGAAAACATTGCAGAGTACACACCTCAATACAGACATAGCTACAATGCAACATGTAAAATGGTATAGAGGTGGGCTTTTCTAATGACTCAAGTCTGAGACTTCCTGGCCTAATTTGTTTTCCTTACAGTGCCTCAATACAAAAATGTTCTTGTATCATAATCAAATTTGAGTAGTAGTACATGGAATCTAAATAGATATATTTCAGGGGGTTGTGCCATAGTGCAAATGTGGTTGACATCGCTAATGTGATCTTCCCAGACAGGCACATCACAGCTATGGATGGCTATCTTTGACTCTATTTTAGGACATGCCAGTTTCTTTTTTCATCAATCCACAGTACCTGGTTATTTGTGAATGTTTTATATACATTTGTTTTCTGATGGGAGAACTCCCATCGCAAAGGGAAATCGTGGTAGTTCAGTAGTAGTGTGCATCCCTTTGATTCTCTGCTAAAGCAGTTCTTTGACATAGAGCTGGGGATGTGGAACTTTTTGAAGGTGCTACCTTTTATACAAGAGGTAAAACTAACACCATGTTATCAATAACAAATTTGTAGCACTTCTGTAAGAGTTGCTACTTATTCTTGAGTGGGCCTTTCTCCGTTCTAAATTCCTGGTGGAGTTTCAGTAGAGCTGGTGTATTCTTCTGTATCTGTCTTAAAATTTTGACATTCACTCCCAAATAGCTGCTAGAATTCTTTGCAGACGCAACTGTTCTATGATGAGTTTTTGTGTTAAGTATGTAAATTACTATTACGTCTTTCTGGGTGAAAGCTGCTATGGAAATTTCAAAGCATCATAATACGTTCATGTCAGAGTATGGTTAAGTATCAAGTCATAGACAATTCAATCCTGAAATATTTGCAATGGGCGAAAAGTAGTGGAGATGCATCTTTTTTGGATGCTAGACAGTTTGTTTTTTTTGTTTAATGTTGTATGATTTATATTGAACTCCTCCTGCAGAGAAGGTAAAAAGCCACTAAATTAGCACAGTACTATATTTCTCTGAATGGATAGTTTGGTAATTGGTGAGTATCAGAAATGCTTTTTTTTTCTCTCTCCTTTTTTTCCCCTCCTTGTTAAGAAGGTAGGGTTCACTAGCTCAACAAATCACATATAGAATTAGAACCCGTTTTTTTGCCACTGTGTACGTTATCTGCAGCTAATGAAACAAAAAATCTGGTTTGATGTCTTCATACCTTCTACATCAGAAGTGTCTATAAATCCTCTGATTTGATGTTATGTGTTCATTGTTGATTGCCACCCATTTTACATACAAAGTATCTATTGGCCCTAGGGGCACAGATTTAAAGGGTAAGCAATCCCTCTTTTGAAAGAGCACAAGACTTGCCCATGCATTAACAGTCAGTGTGCTCTATGAGTAGCTTGTAAGATTTGAAAAGGAAAGAAATACTTCAGCTCTTTTCCTTTTTTTCCCCAGGACTTGAAGGTACCAGGAATAAATAGAATGGGTTCTTATCTTCAGAAAATCAATTTTTAGAATTCTCTATATTCAAACATCCTAGTAGAATTTCCACTAGCTGAGATGGAAGATTCAGATTGTTTCATTTGTAGTTGTATTATAACAGTGATATTTGAAGTTAAAGGCCAATGAAAATTTCCAGTCATATATGCAAATTTAAAATGACCACAAAATGTCAGGAATTTTGAAGCATTTTTTCTAGTAGGTGTATAATGACGAATTTTGTTATGCTTGTAGGGGGTTTTTTGCACTTCTGTGTTTGCTAAGAACCATGGGAATTGAATGTTTAGAATGAGGTGGGCACCAAGCATTAAAGACCTCAGTTTAGTGCCAATTAAAATTTTTCCATGTGTAAGAACGCACAGTCCTAAGTCTCACCGTCTAAATGGATTGCCACAGCTCTTGTCCTGGGTAAAATGCCTTTTCTAACACCTTCCGTTCTGTTCTTTAATGACATCTGAAATCATAGGAATTGTGGTTATCGTTGTATCTGTGAAATGTAAATTTTGAGATGTAAACTTCATAATTCTTCTCCGTGATGTTGGTGTTCTCTAATGAGTTACTGTTATCCTGACCTTTTGCCTTATTGGTGATAAGTTTCCCTTCCCAACCTCATGCTCATAGGGAAAGGCATGCTGTTACCCTGAGCAAAGAGGTTTAGGAATATTTATTCCACCTCCTATTGAGTATTGTGCATGGTGTATTTTTTTCGCAATTCCAACTTTTTGTTGTTATTGCAGATATTATGAATAAGAAGCCACAGCTGGCCTGGAAGCTCTATTTGAAGATGGAGACCTCAGGGGAATCCTTTAGTCTTTTGCAGCTCATTGCAAACGATTGCTACAAAGTGAGTCTTCTCTTGGGAGCTTGGTATATGGCATGTCAATTCAGTGGTCTTACTAATCGCCTTTTTTTTTTTTTTTATAATTTCCGTTTTTATCACCACTAGTGAATTTTCACTTATAACAGTGATATGACTATTAATGTGCATAAGTTGGCAAGGACTAGTCAGCTTTTTAACCAACAGGTCTTCTGGATAGACAATCCACTGATTAAAACGTTGGTAGTTACTGCATGCTTGAGCTATTAATAGAATGTAACAACAGTTTCTTTTACTACTAGGGATTCATTGTTGGTAGAAATGACAAGAGACTTTTAAGAAAAGAAAATCTAGTATAGATTCAGCAAGGAGCCTTGTACTGGAGTTTTTTCTGGGACGGCATTATTTTTCCTTCAAGTTTGTAATGGCAATGGGAGATTCTCCTTTGTTAATAATAAGGAAATGGAAAGAGATTTCCCAGCTCCGCCATTCTGCCCTGCCTGAATGGGGCAAAGAACAGAGGGTGTTTGTGTAGTCATTATGAATAAAACTACTGATAAAAAATTGTGAACTTAACTGCTTGGGATCCATGCTAACACATAACAGTTCTTCTCTTGAACCTTTTCTAGAGTAGATTTTTAAAGAGATGAGCTTAAACTGAGCTGACGGATATGCTTTTAAAAATCAAGCTAGACCAGACAGCGTCCATTTTAGCAGAGACTGAACGGATGGTTTGGGCATTTTAGAGCAAGTTAAAATATGTGCTACTTTATATGTACTAAGCTTCTAGAGAATGTTTAGTAGTTCAAATAGCAAGTACTAATATACTGCTGGCACACCTCCAAAATCACTACTAATGTAGCTTTGTATAAATGAGAAGAGGTCTTGGGGATCTGATCAGAATTCTGCCTCAGTTCCTAATCTCCAGTTCTTTAGATGGTGCCTATACACAGGGAGGCTTAGCTCAGATTTGTTCTTAATGGACAAATGAAAACTTTCTATGAGATTTACCTACAGTGAGGTACTCCATATTAGTAGCACCTCTTTTTTTTTTTTTTTTTTTTCAGTCCAGCCCAATAAAGTGTTGCATAGCAAACTAGAAGTTTGAGCAAACATTTGCGAACAAGAGGCTATTTGCAATTGCTTTATCAAGGTCTTTGCTCTTCTGCAAAACATGTGAAAGAAAACATGAGAGCTTCATCCACAGGGTATATAGCGACCAACTGTTTTGAGAGGATTGTATATGGTGTTATAGGTGAAAGAAAAATTGGTTGTCCTAAGTAAAAAGTAGTGCTGTGCAAGATGTGAGTAGACAACAATGGCATGCTAGATCCAAGTGTCCTCTCTACTGTCTACAAGGATGATTGCACTGTGTTGGCACCTAGAGAAGAGGAATAGTGGTTCTGTGATGGGAGAAGGGGATGTTCTTTGGAAAAGTATTATCATGAGACACAGGCCATCAAATTTTCAGAATGTATTGGCACAGGCTGATTATATTAGAAGGGGGACTGAAGTTATTTGGGGAGCAGCCATTTTAGGTGTAATTGAAATTAAATGTAGAGTATAAAGACATATAATTTGGTGATCATGAAAGTATAATAGTATACTGTTTTAAGAAGGCAGATGTGAGAACAGCAGAACAAATAATAGACTTAAAGCTCATGGAACTGGTTCAATAGAGACTCCTAAGATAAATGAATACACAAGAGCTAGCAGCTACTAGCATAGATTTATTAGAGATACAGTGGCCAAGCTTCCCAACATGGAGGAAAGATAGTAAGAGTCCTCTTGAAAACCTCCCAATGATTCTCAGTACAGCCAAGCTCTCCAAAGAGCAAAATATCTGCATACCATCCATAACATTCTTTCTTACTGTCTGTTTTCATTCATCTGACAGTACCATGCTTCTCAAAATCCTAAAGAACACTTAACTATAAGTCAGACAATCTACCTTCTGATCTCAAAAGCACTCTTCCAAAACTGATGGAGTTTTGTCTTAAGCATCTCGTAAGTATTCTATTCACCATCTCACCCTAAAACGGTCTTTTTGGTCAAGCACATGGCTAAGCCTTAGGTATTTCTGGTGACTGCAAGCTTTGAAAGTGAGTTGATCTCTAGGTCATTTTGAGTTTCACTTAAATCAGTTGATTACTGCCTCAATTCCTCTCAAAACCATATAGTACACTAGAGGAAAAGCAGTTCCACCTTTTGATTTATCCAAAAGTCTTAAAAATTGCGCTTACAGGACTATATGTTTCAGACTATTTACATTGTCTATGCATGGCCACTGATGACTGCTCCAAAGACCAAGAAATTTCATTGTGAAGACTATCAAAAAAACATTATAACTGTAACATTATAACTTACCTTCCTACACTGCTCACTGTTTGTACCTCTCCCACTAAATGATAAGGCCCACATTGTTTGAGCCTGTGTAACATTCTCCAATTGCTTCTGAAATATTATATTATATTGGAGGTCTGCAGACAATGCCATAACCGTACCTGAGGAAGGCAGTCACACTTGGCTTCATTCAACAGAATGCCAAATGAACATGGATGGTGCAAGGCCAACAGCTACCTGAGACCCGGTGTAGCTGGATGCCTCATAGCAGTTTATTCTGACCTGCAGGAGTTGTTTCGTGAGAAAGCTGTCATACTGGGGTGCAGGACATCTGGCTAATCTCTTGCTACTACTGCATCTTATCCTTATAGGGAACAGCATTTGATATGAGGTGAAACCTTTTCTGCTTTTCTGGGAGATAGAAGGAGGACATTCAGTTCACTCTCATTTGTCAAATGATATGAAACTCATTTAGATGCCACTTTGGAGAGATCAGTATTTTTTTTTTTTCCTTAGCTGAGATATCTGATATGGTTTATGCTTACTCCTTATTTCCATCTGATAAGTGCTTGCCAGTCCCTGTGGTAAAATCACCACGTATTCGAGGAAAAGGGAATAATTACTCATTCTGCAGTACCTGTACTGACTAAAGGTCAGTAGGTACCCGCAGTACCTTCTCTGACTAAAGTATCCCAATATAACTCCCACAGCCTGCCCTTTTTTCTCAGCAGATGCAGGCTTCTAACCACCAACGAATGGGAGGTTATGTGCAATCTGCCTTCCATCTTCTCTCATGGGAAGATGCATAGCCACAAACAGCATTGCTACTCAGGCTTGGCCAAGTGAAGAAAATTGGCAGTCATAAATAAGGTCCACATCAATTATACTAACTTCAAAAGCCACAGTTACTGTAGTCACACCTTTCTCACTGACTGTATCAACCAACTTGCTTCCTGTTCCCATTTACAAGTAGAGAAACTGATGGAGAAAAATAGGGTACACAGTGAATTTTCCTATGCTCAGGAAAATTTTAGAATAAAGGGCCACTGAATCTTATTTTGTACTGTACCATAACAGTGAAGAGTAAAACTTAGCTCTAAATGAAGCCCAAAAGACATCCAAATCTGCCTTTGTGACCATCTCTAGATGAGGAAAATTGGTTCTATTTTAAAACATTTGACAAAGTTTGAAGCTGATATTAAGAGGACTTTGTACCTACTATAGATAGGGCAACTCATACTTTAAAGTTAGTTAATGCTGGTTGTAAAAAGCAAAGGCACGAAAGATGTTCTATTAGCTAATGTTAGCTATATATGATCAAAACAAGAACAGAGCTGATCATAGCCAACTAATAAAATTTACAGTGCGTTTCTCTATAATATATTCAAAGACCTACAATAATAATGTTATAATATTGCGTGTTTTCCTACAAGGAACTGAAATGTGCCTGTTTGTGTCACTCACAGCCAGGAGAAAACCAGCCAGACTTACTGCTGATTTCAGAAAACCGAGATCAAAACGTTTAATCCCCTTCTGAAAGACGGTCACATACTCAGAAATATGTACTGTTTCTCTTTTTATACAGATGGGTCAGTTTTACTATTCAGCCAAAGCGTTTGATGTTCTGGAGAGACTGGACAGTAATCCTGAATACTGGGAAGGCAAAAGAGGTGCTTGTGTGGGTGTCTTTCAAATGATCTTAGCTGGCCGAGAAGCAAAGTAAGTATTGTTTGTTATATTTGAATTTATTTGCTCTTCTCCTATTTCCAGTTAGCTGTAAGTTAGAATCATGATCATAGCTTCAGGAATGCATGTCCTCTTCCAAATTTTTTTTGACCTTTTGGAAAATACAAACTCTGACCAGTGGTTCCATATGTAGTGTTTTTGAAGATCGTCTTCCAAACCATCAGTTACCGAATATATTGCAGAGAGTATCTTATCAGTGAATGCTATGAACTGTAGGGCACCAAAATATACTGCTGGTCATCATTGTTCTAGCAAAAACTAAGTTATAAATCTACTATGCTTCTATCCTAAGGGAAAGGAACTCATTTCATGTCAATGGCCCGAGAATGGAAAAACTATCCTATGACATTTTAAGGTTCATAGAACAAAAATAGGGAAACATTTATTCAACAGTCCAGGAAGGACACTGTTTCTCTAAACAATGAGTAGATGAGACTAGGCTTTCACTAAAATTTGCTTTCTGAAGACTTTGTCCCTGTCAGACAAAGATACTTATTTGATTAAAGCTCAAAGGAAGTGATCTGTAAGTGTTGCTGATCGTTTTACTTTTGGCCCATTTCACTCAATGGAAGAATGAAAGGGAGTTGTGAACTCCCTTTCCCAGTTTAAGAACTGTTCCCTCATGAATATTCAGCTGTGATGCCAGATCGCCATTTCACCCTGGCCAAAATTGCTGTTTGTACATGACTGGAAGGTGTGTATCTTGGCTTCTACATCTTTCTTGTATCCCCTTCTCTGCTGGCATAATGTAATTAACTGCTGCACCCTTCAGGAGTCCTTTTGGCAAGTGCTGCACTAGATGCAGTAAAATACATATAGCTTACCTGTTCTGCATTATGCATGCAAGTTCTTACCGTAAAGCGGCTGGCAAACTGCAGGTTTGTGCTGGTTTACTCTATTGGAAATACTAATTTCCATGCTATTTGTGTTCATTTGTAAGGCGTATGGTGCACTGACAACATTAAGTTGGATGCTGCCATTTTGAAGACTAGCAAACAGCATAAAAACAAACAGAAAACTCCCTAATAATTTGCTCTGTTCTGGGGAATTATTTTGCAAGAGTAAGGATTTGTGTGTGTGTGTGTATATATATATATATGTATACAGGCTAAATTCCAAACCAGTTAATTATGTTTTGCTGATTTTTTACTTTTAATTTCTCTCTTGTTGAAATTGCATGCAAGACTTTTTTGATGTATTTATTGTCTTAGGATCTAAACTATTGCACATTTTTACCTATCTCTGCTCTGCAGATGGAAGCATCTCTCTGTCTAGGAACAATGTTTTGCAAGATATGTGACAGGAGGGGGTTGTTTATAGAAACCAAATGGTATCAGTTGGTTCTCACTGTCCTTTAAATCTTTGCCTTTCACCTTTGCAGAGAGACTTTACGGGAAGTGCTGCATCTTCTGAGGAGCACTGGTAATCCTCAAGTAGAATACATTATCCGCATCATGAAAAAGTGGGCCAAGGAGAACAGAGTCCCTGTCTAGGTCAGCGTCACCAAAAGAACTGGGTCAGTTACTATTTTGTGTGTGGCTGCTAAGATGTGGATCGTGGCTCCTCCTGTGCATTCTGGGTATTTCCTTCTTTGGAGGTACGTCTTTAGGACGTTGAGCAGGTTGACCCAGTCTACAGCTGAGCAAAGAGTGTACTGCCGTGAGATTGCATAACATTCAGCAAGTAATTTTTTCATTAAAGCTTTATTTTAGAAGGAAAGGTATCGAATTCCTTTCTCCCTTCAGTAGAATCCTACTGGTATTTTTACTGTTCAACCAATCTCTACTCCTCATTCAAGGTTTCTCAATTTTTTCATAATGTAATTCCAAACATCCATAAATCAAAGCGTTCCTCAAACGTTCCCCAGACTTTCTGCACCAGTTACTGGAGTCTGCTGTGTTTTTCAGCAAGTCTTTTGGCCTCCAGAAAAGAATCATTTGTTAAATGACTGAGACAAATCTACTTCAGCAGATGATGGATTGTGGCAAGTGGAAAAGAGCAGAATTGTGACAATGGAAAGCCAGTGCTAGGCTATCAAATAACATGAATAGGTTTTATATATTCCCTGCCTGGGGTAAAGCGGAAATTGTAGTCTGTGCACCATCCTTTTCTGCATAAATCTCACTAACTAATAACTTCATCTCTCTTATTTTTGTCTAGAAGGATCTTTTCTCTCTTACAATGCATTCTGAGGGTGAGGGTTAATCAGCCCCAAATGTCAAGCTCCAAAGTGGCTTATTTGCTTTCTAGGTTGGTAACAAAGCATGATGGTACCTTTTTTTTTTTTTTTTTCAGAGCGTGGAGAGCTGACTGTCTGGATTGTTCAATCTTGCTTGAAATTTGACCCTCAAAACATTTATCCTTGTTAATATGATTCATGTGAGTAATCCCTTTAGTGTATCAATCTGATGGATAAAAGAACTGTATGTTTTGAATCATTTTCTTCAACAGTTTCCACCATAGTTAGCAATACATTCATTATACTGTGGGTGATAAGTACTCTCCTGTTTCCTAAGGAGAACGGTTCAGGGAACACGCAATCCTAAAAGAAGGCAACAGTTGTAACATAGAAATGTATTATATGGTTTGCGATGAGCAACATTTGTATATTATTTGTAAAATGAAAATTTGCCTTTCTTATGAAGTATTTTCATATCTTTAGGGGGGAACTTTTCAGAATACTGTATTTTTTACTCTCTGTGCTTTCATTAAAGCTCTTACGTGGATCTACAATTGAACGTCTTACTTGGTCTGTGTTATCTCATGTTGAAGGTATTGAAACGGTATGTTCATTTTGCTGTGGAAGAGGACAGATTTGTGACTAGTCATTAAGTGCTTGTTCAGTAGTCATTCAAGACAAGCTAATGGCCTCGGTCCTGAGCTTTATGACGGGTTTTACTGTTTGATACTTAAAATAAGGAGGTATACAGAATATAAACATCTTTCTGCCACAAAACATGCCAGTGTCTTTAAGCAAAAACTGTGGGTATCATCATTCAAATATCTGGAAGTGCACTGCTGGGTTGTCGCTATTTGCATTTACATGAAATTTAGAAAAGCGATCCATCAGGTAGCAACAATAATAGAGCGCCTTTGAGCAGGAGCAGGGCCAACATTACAGTGATCCAAAAGAGAAGATGTGAAAGTAGCAGTAAGTGTTTTCACTGAAGCAGTTACAAAACTTGCTTCACTTGTAAAAAGCATTTTTGTTTTCTCTCACAGTTGAATTAACGTGGAAACAGCTTGGGAATGCTACTATGAGTCTTTGTACAAACCTTCAAAAAAATCATGTCGGTGGTTTTGTAGCAGATGTTAAATGTATCTAATTACTCCCTTTACTGAAGCTTAACCTGCAGGAGATCTGAAGAGCATCCAAACTCATTGTAGACTGTTTTACATGTGTTAGGTGAATCTTCTGAAATAAGTGTGGTAGCATTGCAGCATATGGGCTTGGGGACTACTTTCAAACCCTTTGTCCGAGACCCGTGAAGAAGTTTTTGAAAATGTCACAATTATTCACATTAGTCACGAAGTCGTATTTAATATGTTAAATAACGTAGGTTTTAACACAGTGTTCTTTTTTGTTTTACAGATAATAAAGCTTTTGCATTTAAGGTATAAATAAGTGAGGACTGCAGGAATTTCTTTGTACAGTGATGAAATAAAAGATATGTTACATGTTGTCCTAGCATTTACAGTCTTGATAATGGAACAGATATGTTGGTATTGCTAAAATGCAGAACAAGAAAAGTGCTGAAATATTGGCTTCTCTTTTACCTTGAAAATACATTTTAAGGATGTCTTCCATGGTTTAATCTGAATTCATATTCAAGAAACAGAGGTGTGAGTAGAAATTCCCTTCGTTGATACAGAAAGAGAAGTTAATAGAGAATTTCTACAACTGTTTCTCAAGTAGAGTTAACAAATCTTATCCCTGCACATGTCCATATCTTCCTGACATGTGGGAATGCAAGGAGTTAGGGTACTTTACATAGGAAAGGTGGGCCTGAAGAGAGATGTGGAGAGAAACAGAAGTGACCCCTACAGAGCAAACAGGCAGTGCAGAATGGCTGAAGAACTTTTTTATCTGAGTATGTATCTGATTCTGGAGAACAGAATATAGAGAGAGCACCAAAGGTACTATGTTAGCAGTCATATCATTAATAGTGACAGGTAGAGAAAGCCAAAACCCCAAGCACTGTGTAACTCATTTTAATTGGGCTGCCACGCATTCCTTATAGATAAGGAAGATGACCTTTAGTTAAGCACAGTAATAACTGAGCAACACTTACTCCCTCCAATAACATCTGCCGGAATTACACTACTGGGGAGGACGTTTGTCCTTTCAATTGCTGCAGATGAGCTCCAGGATAACATTCACTTTGGCCAGCATCTGAAGTGATCCAATACAGCAGCAACCCTCCTGGATTAATTCTGGAATCTAGCATAAACTCCTAAGAACAGTGACAGCTGGAGCCTAGCATAAACTCCTAAGAACAGCTGGAGCTAAGTAATGTACTAAACTGGAGATGGCAAGTTCATCGTAAAGGAAAAGTCATGTCATATTCCAGCTTGGACTTTGGACTGTAGCAGGCATTTAGGAATATGCAGTGCTCTCAACTTGAAGATCTGTCATTGATCTTCATAAGAAGGATGTCTAAAGTTGATTATAGAACTTGGCCATTAGGTAGTAAGGCACAAAATAAGCAATTACGTGTGGAGTTATTGTTACATGTAGCTTCACTATATGGGAGATGTACCTACTTTGAGGAACACATCTGGTTTTTGCCCCTTGTTTTACTCACTAACCAAATTTTCCCTGTATTATATCCATCAGGAATTTCCAATCCCTCCTTTTTGAGTTTCATTTTCAGGATTCCCTCCCCCTATTTGATCTATTCAAATGATCATCAATGAAGTAGATAATTGCACAAAAGTGTCACGAGGAACCATTCTTCCAATGTCTACCTCTGCTATGTTAAATAGCCATTGGAGCCTGGCATTCTTTGTTTTGGTTTGTTTGTGGGTTTTTTCCTCTTTAGGGATACATAAACTGCGAGCATGTAATCTCTATCTTCTTTTGGTTGTATTAAAGAGACCATCTCTGTTATAAGGACTTTTCCAGACTGGAAAACTGGTACCTTCTCCAGTTTGCCAACAGATTTTTCTTAAAAAAAAAAAAAATGTCCATGTTGCACTGGGCATAATTTATCACTGTATGTGACATTGGAATACGCTCCTCCATACTGCTACTCACTATTCTCCTATGTCTGTATCAAAGACTGCATTCCCGCTTCTTGCCATATTATCGCAGGGGGAGCTCACGTTAAATTGCTTCTCCAGTCTCATGTGACACCTAGGGTTTTTCCAGAAACTGTATTTTCCATAATACAGTCTTACCTTTCCAAAGGGACAGCCTACCCATAGCTCTATGAAAAATGTTTTTTGATTGAATGGGCTCACTTTTCCATCTTACACAGATCACTCTTTGTGATCGATCTTATCCACATAAATTACTAGTCTGTTTTTCTGCAAACTTTTATTAGCACCCATTTTACATCTATATCTGGATCATCAGTTAATATGTTGGATTATCAGTCCTTCCAGGACCCTACTAAAGAAAATACCCAAAACATTCTACTAATGATGACTGATGGCTACTTTTCACAATCTGTCATTCTCATGTAACATGTGCTTTACTGATACTGTATTGTGCTACTTTTTAAAATAGGAGTTATGTGATGATAAAAATACATTTCTATAACTCCTGTTTAGCTAAAGTGGTAATCAATTAAAGCTCTATGTCACTGACTGGAGTTATATGAATATTCTTACGTATTTCCATTCGTTCTTTATCAGATGAACCCTATAGCATCCCAGAAAGATTGATGGAAGTGGAGTCCAGCTGTTTAAGACTGCTTGCAGAATTTGAAAGATAATACTACTTTTCTTTGTACTTTGATCACATTTTGAAGCCGTGCACCAAAAGCTTAGTTTTGGTTGTTGTAGGTTCTAAATTTTCATTTTCAATTGGAACAAAACATTCAAGCACATCAAATAAAGCAGGTATTTGACATCTCTGGCCATGGGACAGTCCCTAAATTCCTTACAGGACTGACTTAAATGAAGAATTATACTAGTATCTATTTATACATGTTTTTAGAAAAATTTATATTTAGTAAGAGATGTGACTTCTGAGCAGATCCAGTGTATTCTTTAAATAAAGAGAACTGCTGTAATTCATACTTACGTATTGCATTGTGCTTAAGTGCTCCATATTATGTTACTTTTTGTAATCCTCTGTGACAGTTCATTTCAAATAATAAATCTGTAAAATAAGTAATGCTCTTTAAAATATTTTTTCAAGTAGACCTATTAGAACCTAGGACTTAAGTTATTTTGATAAGGAAATATGCTATGGGATACTTTGTAACAGTTCTCAGATACAACTAAATCTAACTGAAAAATGGGATAGTATCTATGCTATTGTCTCTGAACTGCACTTTCATGAATTTAAGGATCGTATTGTTTATGGTATTGTTTAGCTGGAGTCCTCAAACCACACTTAAAGCTGGCCTTTAACTAGGGAAGAATGATGAGCCTCAGACTCTGCCATCTGGTCTTTGATTACTGTAAGCAATTTTCATGTGGTCAATTCTGTGAAAAACCACACACAATAATGCAGAAGTGTCATGTTACATAATATGCAATAATATGTTTTAATAATACATATAACATGTAGATGTTTTATGCCATGCTTCAATTCTCAAAGTTATATTGCCCTTCATAACACAATGGCTATAATATTCCTCACTGATTTGTCCTTCTAAAGGATGATGAGATCATTATGCATGTCTGCTCTAAAGCTACTGGTAAGCGTTTTCTTGCCTGTCATCAGTGGGTGTGCTTACAGGGTAAGGCCATTATATGTGATGAAACACGGTGTCTTACCTTGCAGAGCGAGTGAATTAGTTCATATTATATGAAGTACACGTGTCTCTTTAAAAGTCAGTCCACGTGTGATTGCTACGTCCGAGGAAACATTAGAAAAATTACATTACAAAAACTAGCAAACCAGACCTTAAGCTATCTGTTATATTCCTACCACTGTTGGTTGTCATAATATTTGTATTGCATAAGTTCACTCTTACTTTTGTCTGACTTGTTCATAGCATCACAAGTGCTGAATTTAGTCATCAGTGTACAAACTGGGAAGAAATGGGCTGTTTTTCCCTACCATTTAAAGGCAGAAGAGCTGTTTTCAGGTCACAGCAGAATAATTTCAATGGCAAGATGTACAAGACTTCCCACTCAGTTTAGCTACTTATTCTCAAACAGGTCCTACTGCAGTGTGAGCTTTTCATTTCTGCATGTTCTCCTTCCCTAGCAAGTGCTTTCCCTGCTCATCTATCCACTAACATATGAAAGTCCTTACAGGACTATCATAAAGTACTGCCGAAGTGCCACTATTTCCACTTACCTCTTCTTCCCCTTGCCCCCTCTCTGAAGCATGATTTGACTTGCCCTACTTCACAGAAACATTACAGTGAAGGTTTGTTCAGATTTGTAAAAATATGCTGACATTTGCCTGTGGAAGACTACAGATGAGTATGACATGACATTAAGAAATAAATAACCTAAATCTCTTAAAACTGTGAAGAAGTATTCAGATGAGTACTCAAAATAAGTTAAATCTGACTCTGTAATTACTTATTAATGTAAGGGAGAATTATTTTAAGGCCAGAAAAATGACATTTGAAATAGACTGCCATACATAAAGTGTAGCTTGTTTCACAAGCATTTCTGGCAGCCACTCTACCCTTAAAATTGTCATTGCTATTGCTGCTATTCTACACTTAATATTCTCAAACTTAATATTCTTAAACTGCATATGTCTTCCCCAAATACAACTTCTTGGGGGTGATAGGAAAACAGTTTAATAAAATGCCACTTGTATATTTAAATTATTCATGTATGGAAAATCATTTTTCTCAAGTAATTTTTCAGATGCTATTTTTAATGCCATGGTAACTCAAAAGCAGCTTTGTATTGGATCTGCAAGCTTGGTACGTAGTTAATTCTCGCTGATGAATATGTGCTTTGCTTTTCGTAGGCAATTTGGTTTGGAAATAAAATCATGGAAGTATGAAAATGCTGAACTGCACATGCAAAGTACACTTCTGACTATTCTGATCGTAAGCCTTTATGAATGTTAAAAATGTGGTAACTTGTTTATGCAGTCACTCTCAGCTGTCTGCAATAATGTGCACTTATTTAGATGTGGAACATTGTATAAGTCAAAGCAGTTTCCAGAGCGCTGAGAGACAGGCGCTGAAAGAAATGGTTAGGAAATTGGAGCATTCCAGTTTTTGTGAAATCAGTCTGGAAGCCAAAGGAGCAAAAAAAAAAAAAAAAAAAATTAAAATTTTCCAGAGTCACAGTTAAATAGTACTTGGTATGTCTTTGCACCTCCTAGACCATTGGTTTGCAAGCTATGTATATTAAATGAAATTCTCCTTTTTTGGGAAGGTGAGCGTTACTTGACAGTTGTTTCCTGAGCAGTGACTCTACTTAGTTTTCTATCTATTAGAATATTTTATAAGTGAAATAATTTTCTGATAATTATTAACATATATTTCACTAACAACAGAGAACAGCACACTGGTGTGTGACCAAGCCTGTTCTGGCCTACAGTCTAACTGCTTCCATTTTCATGAGTTCTGAGAGAGCATTTGTCTTGTCCTAGGTCAGCACTTACAAGAGAAACCCTCAGCAAGAGAACATCAACCGCACGTTAGCTTTAGTAAAGCTCGGGATTACTTCCAGACTGCTCCTTTTAGCTCCCGACTACTGCTTTTGGTTCACAGTTCAAGTTGAGAATTGCATACGAAGCCAATCTTTCTCGTTCATGTTACTGATGGGTGGGGCAGCTACTTAAAATTGTGACTCATACACACTTGTGGTTTTTTTCTAATTACTATTGGAATTAAAACACAGCAGACAACAATACGGAGATAAGACAACAACCTGACTCCAAACTTTCAGACAGACTGGTAATCTTAGGCTGCCTCCAGGGGTGCTGGCCTGATGGAACAGGCTTTTCATTGGAGATTAGTTTCCCATTCGGGCACGTATTTTTAAAGAAACACTGCAAATAATTAAGAAAGAAAAGAAAGTATCAGACAAGTACCCAGAGCACATAGTCTCTCTCAGTCTCTGACAAATAACTATGTGTTTTTACACTGTGAAATGAGCATGTATGAATTATGGAAATCTATTTTTTCTACAGGCAGCTCAGCTTAAGTTTTTAGCGTCACTGTTAGTCACAGTGAACATGTTACAGGCGGGTGCCCCTCAGTTTAGTTTCTTCACCAACTCTGCTCTCTTTCTATATATTTGTATTTTTAATGAAAGCACTTTTTTTTTAATGCTACTGGGAACACCTGTACAAAACCTTTTCTGTGTTTCTCTCTGATATATTTCTTCTTGTTATTCATTTTCTCTACACAAAAATCCTAGGATCTTAACTAAAAGGTTATTTTCTCTCTAGTAATCTACCTGTGTTTTTAATCTTGTGACTGCTTAGATGGTACCTTTTTACGCTCCTATTTCTTCCTCCTGCTTAGAAAAGTAAAGGGCACACTTTTAAGAGAGAATTTCCTAGTGTTTTTAGATCTCAAACTAATCCTCACTACTTAGCTGAAAAAACATTCCAGATACTGAGATTCCCAAATTAAGTCACTATAGACCACACCACTTCAGCTAGAATCACAGCTATTGGAGAAGTTAAAATAGCTTGTTTGTCAGCCTCAACTGAGGTCACCCTTAACATTAGCAAAGCTTGAAGACAGAAGTCGCATGCTTGTTGTAGCACGAAATCTTGACAGCAGAAGCAGAAACAAGTTACTAACCATTAAGTGAAAGAAAAAAGTAACCAGAAAAGTGCTCTTATCTTGATATTTAGAATTGACTTGGCTACTGTTATCTGAGGGAACCAATTACCAGCATTCTGCTTCCTAAATGCACCCTCTTAGAGTTGATGTTTAATGTGAGCTTGAGGACTTAAAACCTCATCTCCTCTCCAGGACGGAAGGCTGTTCCCAGCAGCAGCTTCTTTCAGTGTCTTGCTCTTCCTTGTCCAAGGTACAGTTCTTCTTTCCATTCTCTCTCACCTGTTTTTTCTCCTAACCTGGCTCATGTACTATTTCATGTAAACACAGTATTTGAAGCTACACCTTTTTTCTGCAGTTCCTCTGATTTTATGATCTTACTCTGGCTTTTTGATTAGCTTAGTTTAATTTTAAAGAATGTTACAATATTATGTGGATCATAAAAAACACTATTTATACAAATTTGTGTCAGTTTTAGTTTCTAAGTTCTCACTGAAAAATTTTGTGTTAACAGTACAGATGATAGATTTAGGGTTTCAAATGTTTTATCCAAATCCATCCCCATACCTTTGACTGGTTGTAGAACTCACACTATCATGACACATGCGCCTGTAAATTCCTTAACTTTTCTAAAACATGAAGACTTGTCCTGGTTTCTAGCTTATCTTATATGGGAGATAAAGGCCAATATTCTATTTTTGCCTACTACCTACTAGTGGGGGTAGCCAGGCACACAACATGATATTGCAACACCATTCCTGGTTCCAGGAAGCAAACGAAAGATGCAGCCATATCCACTTCCAAGCTAAAATGCGTTTTCAGTGTGGCCTCCTACTACAGTAGTGGTAACAACCATTTGCGTTAAAACTGTTGTTACTTTAAAAACTTCCCATGGTCATTGAAAGCTTGAACTTTTGACTAGGTTTGTTCGAAGCTTCTCTTAAAATTCTTGAAATGAGTCCAATGGCTCACAGGTTCAGATTTCATTTTCTAAGAAGTAGAGTTTGACAAGTCCATGGTGTGCAATAAATCAAATGGGATAAAGTTTACAGTCACTGTTCTTCTTTAAAATGGTGATAAATTAGAATTATTTCTGCTCTTGTAAAGTATGTCCTAATTACCTGAAGCTAATGCACTCTTTCTAGTCCTCCTTAATATCTGGTATTTCTTTACCTACCCTACAATCCTTCTAAGCCACTAGCCTTTACTTCTCTGACTAGAGTACTTTAAGCTTTCCAAAGATGTGGCAGATCAGCTAGCGATAACTCCAAGCACACGTGCCCGATTCCTGCATAGCAGAATTAAATAAAATTTCTCTCCTGAAGGAGAGAAAGCTACAGGTATGATCTTCAGGAGATGGTATTTTTAACTAAAAAAAAAAAAAAAAGACGACTAGT